CACTCAGCCTCTCTGTGCCTCAGTTTCCCCATGTGTAAAATGAGGGGTTGGGCTAGATGGTGCTCCTATGATTCTGTGACCCTAAGAAGCGGGGGCTGGGGGTGGAGGCCGGCACATTTGTCTCTAGGAGTGGGTCCGGGGATGGGTGGCAGAGACAGCCTGGAACAGAACTGGAATGTCCACTCAGTTCCCATCCCTCAAGCTTGGCTTTCTCTGCAGCAGCCCCAGGCAGGGGCAGGAAGGCAAGAGGGCAGTGAGGGCAGGCTGGCCAGACTCCCTGGTCATGGCCACAACCCCCTTTTCCTCAGGGAGAAGCCTGAGGAGCCAGGATGGACCGAGACCAACCTCCTTCCCCTCCTGGGGACCAGCAGCCAGGCGAGGCCCCTCCTCACCCCGACCGTCCCTTGGGGATCCCTGGGGCCTCCCCCCCGCCTCAGCCCCGGGGCCAAGAAGACCTTGAGCACTGGCTCTATCTCCAGTCACATTCCTCTCCCCCTGAGCCAGGCTGGGGCCAGAGTTAGGCCCTGGTCCTTGACCCCCAGGGAGCCAGCCACTGCCAGGTGGGCCATCCTTCGCCCCACTGGTAGCCCTGTGCCCAGGAAGCTCAGCTCTCTCTCCTTTACCCTCCACCACCACAGCCACCAGGAGGCTGCCTCTGTCCTGGGCTCTTCCCCTCAGCAGGAGGCAGCTGTTAGAGATAGGAAAGGTGATGCCCAGGCAAAAGGGGAGTCTCCCATCCTGGACCCACCCCCTGCATCGCTGGTGCCCATCATGAGGGCACGCTCTGCGAGTCCTGGAAAGCCCAATCCCATGGGGCCCCCAGGGGCCTCCGTTTTGGAGAAGCCCCTGCTGACCTCGCATCTGGCCCTTTCTTTCCAGCCACGCCCAGCCCAGAGCCCACCAGCCCCGCCCAGCATAGGGCTCCCATTCCGATACACTTCCCGGACACCAGGCCCAGGCTCCCCAGGAAGGGTGGGGACCCGGCACCTGGGCATCCCCAGGCTCCGGCTGACGTCTGGAAGGGGCATCCCGGCCCGGGGGCTACTCAAGTCAGGAAGGATCACGTTGGCCAGGTCAGAGAGGGCTGAAAACCCAGTTGTCACCCCCGGCGCGACCACCGATCCAGCCCCAGCCACGTTAGGTACCACGGCGGATCCGGCCATGCCAGAGATAGCTGCAGGCTCACCCAGCTCAGACAGAGCCTCAGGCCCGACGGAGTCTGAAGCAGCCACTGCAGGTGTGGCCGCAGCCATGGGCCCAGCCCCCCCACCCACAGCCGGGGCTGAAGAGGACAGGGCCTGGTCAAGGAAGAGTGTGGCATTCTTACAAGTCACCGACCCGGAGAAACAGGGTGCAGCGGGGCGTCGAACCAGGCCAGTGCTGGCCCCCAACCCAGCCACAGACCTCGCCCTGCACATCCCACATGCCCACGCAGCCCGGGTTGTGGCCACCTCGGGCCCAGGGAAAGGCTTACCAGCCTCCACCTTCGCGGCCCTGGTCCTGCCTCTGTCCAGCAGCGCCGCAGTGCTAGCCACAGCAGAGCCAGACAGGGTTCTGTCTCCACCAGGGCCACTCCCAGGCCCGACCCAAGCAGACCCAGCCCACACCATTGTCATGCTAGACAAAAGCACCAGCACCACCGCCAGCCTGGCAGCCCCAGCAGACCGAGGTGCACCGTGCACTGCAATGGTGCTGGCCACATCCCACACGGCCAGGAGCCTGGCCTCCAAAGACTCCAAGGTCATCTTTACTGTGCCGGGCATAGACATGTCCCCAGCCTTGCCAGGCACAACCGTGGGTCTGCCTGTGTCCAGACGAGGCCAGCCATGCACAGCAATGGTCTTGGTCACGCCCCAGGAAACCACACCACACAGAGCCATGGTCGCCCGCTTCGCAGACAGCAGCACGGCCCCAGCCGCCCCAGGGGAGGCCTTGGAGCCCCCCATGCCGGCTGTGGTCCCCGTCGTGGCAGATATAGGCCCCATCCTAGGCACCCCAGACCACACCTCGGAGCCAGGCACCCCAGAGCCAGAGGAGGAAGAAGCTACGGCTGCCCCCCAAGCTTTGGCTGCCGAAAGAGCCGCCGACCTGGATGCCCTGGACCTAGCGGTGGCTTACAAGGGTAAATAAACGAGAGTCGGCACTTTGGGGATGGGCAGGCTTGGGCATGTGAGTGTCCAAGGCTGGGGAGAATCCCAGAGGCCCGGGGGCCCAGACCGGGGAGGGGGGGCCAGAGGAGCTTAGCCCCAGGGGCCAGGATATCTTTGTGGCCCCCACCTTGAACTGAAATGTAGCATTTCCTGTGATGCCCTAAAAAGAGCTTGCTGAGAAGGTCCAGGACACACAAAAGGGAGAAGACCCCCTGGTATCTCTAGAGGGTGGCTCCCCCTCTCTCCCTCAAAGTTAGAGAGGAAGGGCTGGTGGCAGGAAGGAGGGGCAGAGCGAGCCCCAGCCAATGCAAGTCACCACGCAGTTATTGAGCACCTACTGTGTGCATTGTGTGCCTACTCTGTGTTGGGCACTCTGCCGAGCACTGAGGGTACAAAGAGATGTGAAAGGCAGTGCCCGCTCCTGAGGGGAGTGCAGTGGGGAGAGAGCATGCAAACAACTAGGTACAAACAAGCTAGCCTCTGTGAATTGGGGAGAATGCACAGAGGGAAGGAGCTTCGCGTAGAAGGTGAGATTGTCCCTGGGATTTGAAAGACTAGAGCAAGTGAAGAGGGAAAGGCTTCCAGGCCTGGAGAACGGCCAGCGCAAATGTCCCGAGGCTGGAGATAAAGGTCTTGTTTGAGGCACAGCCAGGAGGAGGGATCCCTGGATGCTGGAGTGCATGGAGGTGAAGCAGGTGTAAGAAGCCTGCAAAGGTGTGGGAGTGGGGAGTTCGACAGCCTGGGGGGACCGGGATTGGGGTGCCTGGGGCTAGCGCCCTGCTTCACACAAACCGGGGAGGTAACCATCTGGCTTCACAACCATCGCCGTTTCAGGAAAGGATTCACTTTGTGAAAAGGCGCAGCTGGGTCCCCCGAAAGCTGGCTCCCATTGATCCTTTCTGTGATCTGCTTTTTCAGAGTTACGACCACTGAGACCTAACTGGCCTGTGAAGATGGAAGGATTCTCTTGGAAGGTCAGAAGAGGTAAGTTTGGGACGGACCTTGGGGGTCCTAGTTAGAATGCCTTGTGAGGGAGTGAGCTCCCTGTCTTTGGAGCTACTCGGGCCAGGGCTGTGTGGCTCCTGCCTTTGAGAGAGTGCAGCCCTGTACTGGTGCGATGAGCCGGCTGCTGCACTTAGGGGACTGTCGAACTCACTCAGGTCGAGCTGTCTCCACTCCCGTACTCCCTAAGGCCCTTCTCCACCAGCCTCCTTAACTTTGGAGGCCATAGTCCAGGAGAAGGGGACTCAGGGAAACCTGGGTGGCCTTGGGGCCGGCCTGTGACCTTTGAGGTCAGGCCCAGGCCCTCAGAGGCTCTGACCGCCCCTGGGGGCGGGCCTTGCTAAGCCTCTCTGCTCCCCTGTCCCACACGCAGGGGAAGGGGACCTTATAGATCACAGAGGGATTTGGAACCAGTTGCCTCAGGCCACACCGAAAATTCATTCTGGAGTCTCAGCTGACCTCTGGCTTCGGGGCTCTCCCAGGGCAGGGAAGGGCAGGGCTAGAAGGGACTTTGAGCCCCTCATTTTGCAGATGAAGAATCCTCCTGCCAAGCCCAGTTATGTCCATCTGAGCCTCACAGAGAACTTGGGGGGAGGCAATGCTGAGACCCTTGACCCTATTTGACAGATGAGCAGACTGAGGCTTGCCAGGGGAAGGCTTCCTGGCTCTGGTACTAATCACACCGTGACCTGAGGGCAAGTCCCTTCCCCTTTCTGGGCCTCAGTTTCCCTGGCTGTAAGATGAGGGGGTCGGATGAGCTGATTTCTGAGTTGTCTTTCATTCTGACATTCTCTGACTTGGCCAAGGCCTTGTGAGTTAATGGGACTTCCCCGCTTGATTTCTCTTCTGTTCCCTTTGCCCCTTTACAGATGGGAAGACTGAGGCCCACGGCACAGAAGGGACTTGCACACATGGGCAGTGTAGCCCATGCAGGATTTGAACCCAGGCCCTCCAGGGCTCTTTCCACTGCCCTTTGCTGCTTTTCCTCCCCCACATGTACACGGTCGTGTTAATGGAGCCGGATCCCTCAGATCTGGCCTTTGGAGGGGGATCAGGGCTGCAGCCCCTTGTGGAGCCTCAGACCCTGGCCCTGAGCTGCCTCAGAGGAGCAGGGGCTAGTTCCTAAGGAGGGCAGGCCGCTGGTGCATGAACACACACGTGCAAACATGCCGCCTCCTCCCAGGCACCGATCCCCCTGCTGGGGGGCCGGAGGGGACCTGGTTTTGAATCCCTGCTTTGCCACTGGCCGTGGCCTGACTGTGGACGAGTAGAGTTGGGATTCCTTAAGGCAGAGTTGGCAAGGGGCCGAGAGAGACATCAGCTGGTGCACCCCCCCCCTTTGAGGCTGAAATTTAATAACGATGTCCCCTTTGTGTACAGCTTTGTGAGGTAGGTAGGGAAAAGAGCCGTGGTCCCATTTTCCAGATGTGGCAGGTGAGGCTCAGAGGTCAGGGGACTTGGTGCTCAATAACAAACACTGATAGTAACAGTAGAGACTTTGATTGTTCCGTGTTCTATTGTTAATGGCTCTGAGAGAAGGTGCCTTGGGAGGGTCTCCCAACTGCTGTCAGAGGGGCACTGGGGCCCCAGGGCTCGGACTCCCCTCCCAGCCTCTGGCCAGCTCCTGCCTCTTGTCCCCGGGGCTGGGTGAGGTGGGAGCAGAGGCTGGGGGGTGTCCCAGCTCCCCCTTCCCCAGGGCAGAGGGGGAAAGGGGGCGGGGTTCCCCGCGGGGGGGATGGGGATGGGCATGGGGAGGAGCGGGGAGGATCCTCGGGGATGGTTAACATGCGCGTCACGTGGTGCGGGTGGCAGATCCCAATAGTGACGGCGGCGGCAGCAGCATCCTTCCCTCTTTCCTTCTCTGTCTGCCTGCCTGCCTCCCTCTCTCCCCATCTGCTCCTGGCTGCTCCGGGCCAAGAAGGGAGGCGAGCGGAGGAGGGAGGGAGGCCAGGGCCAGGGCTGGGCCCCCCCTTGTCTGAGTGGGGACCCAGAGCCACCAGCCCTGCGCACCCAGCGCCCGGCCCCCCCACCCCGAGAGCATCTCCAAAGACAAAGAAGGATTCATGTCCAAAGGTAGGGGCCAGGCGCCAGGCCTGGCGAGGTGGAGCTGGGCCAGTAGGGGAAGGGAGAGGGCTGGGGTCTGCGTGCCACCACCAAGGCCACGCCACGGCCACAGCAGCCACCGCCCGGCCCTGCCCCTAGAGACGGCAGGAGGGCTGCTGTGTGGATGTGCTGGGGCACACACACACACACACACACACACACACACACACACACACATTGACACGGAAAGATGCACACACGAAGAGACAAATGAGAGGGTGGGGGAAGGAGGGAGGGGCGACCCTTCCCCTTTCATTCTCATCCCTCCTCACCCGCACCCCTCAGGCACCTACATGTAGAGACAGGCTTGATAACTCCGGGCACCAGAGCTCACACTCATGCACACTCTTACATACACACACAGGCTCCCGCAGGAGCCCACAGTGACACTTGTCCACCCTGGGACCCTGACATGGATGTGTTCACACCAGGCACAGCTCAAGGACATGCTCACACACAGGACACACAGATGAGCCCACAGCTGCTACATACACACACACACACACACACACACACACAAACACACCCCACAGCGCAGAGGACTACCCAGCCCCAAACCCCTGGCCCAGAGCCCCACAGGCTTCCACACTCACGTGGCCAGTGGGAAAGGTGCCTGGAACGGCCTCCCCGGGAAGGGAGAGGGATGAGAGGTGACAGTTCCTTTCTATATGGGCTGGGGTGGACTCCAGGATGTGGGAGCTGGGCAGCAGGAGGCCTGCAGTGGGACTGACCCCCAAGAGGAGAGGGAGGGTGGGAGGTGAAGCCCAGCTTGCCCCCAGAGAGGGGGGAGGGGATCTCTGCCTGTAGAGGCCAGCCCCCAGCCTCCATGGGGAAGGGGGAGGGGGAGGAGGGAGCCAGGGGAGAGACAAGAGGAAGAGGGGAGAACAAAAGAGGGTGGGGGGCTTCCTGGGGCCTGGAGGGACAGGAGCCAAGACCAGAGGCCCAGAGATGGGGCAGGTGAGCTGGTGAGCAGCCTTCTCCCATGGAGGAGACAGAGTGAGACAAAGACAAGCCCGTTTTCCTGAGCAGCTCCCAGATTCTCAGCCTCATTTGCCTTTGGGCAGCCTGGGCAGGGGTGAGGGGTGGGGGTGAGGCGGGAAGAAGCTGCTCCTCTGGGGCAGCTCAGGGCCAGGGTCCGGAGGGCTCCATAAGGGGCTGCAGCCCTGATCCCCCTCCAAAGGCCAGATCTGAGGGATCTGGCTCCATTAACACGACCGTGTACATGCGGGGGAGGAAAAGCAGCAAAGGGCAGTGGAAAGAGCCCTGGAGGGCCTGGGTTCAAATCCTGCATGGGCTACACTGCCCATGTGTGCAAGTCCCTTCTGTGCCGTGGGCCTCAGTCTTCCCATCTGTAAAGCAAGAGGGTTGGACGAGCTCACCCAGTCACTCCAGAAGCAGCTGCCCTGTGCTGGGCTCAGGGAAACAACGAGTGCTCACCAGGAGCGGGCGTCAGCAGGCAGGCTGGGACGCTCACTGCCCATGGCACTCAGGACAGTTCTCTGCCCCCACAGTCTGCTTATCTGCAGAATGGTGGCCTTGAAGGCCTTCCCTGAGGGCAGCCAATGCTCTCGGGCCTTGTGAGCCTGCGGGACTGCAGCCAGAATAGGCTCCGGGGGTCAGCACTCTCCAGGCTCGGCCGGGGCGGGGGGCACCTTCCTCGGCCATTCCAGTGTTCGTCCCTGTGCCCAAATGGCCACAGGCTCCATGGGGGTGGCAGGGCCTCCCCCTCCGAGGAAGGGCAGTGAACATTCCCAATCCGTCCATCGCCGAGCCCCAGATGAGGATGAGGCCAGCATGAGCTGGGACTGATAGGCAGCAGACCAGGACCAGGGACATACCAGGCTGCCCGGCCTGGTGACAGCTGCCCGGCCTGGTGTGTCCACAGTGGAATGAGCGGCATTGCAGCAAAGGCTGGGCGACCAGGAGTCGGGAAGGGGGTTCTGTGGAGCCGAGACGCTGGGCTGGGAGCCCTCTGGCCCTGGCGTTAGAGGCAGAGGCCCTGTATTCTAATCCTGGCTGTCCAGCACTTACTTAGTGGGTGGCTTTGGGCAAGGGGTGTCCCCTCTCTCGGCCTCTCTCAGGCCTCCCAGCCCCTTCCCAGCTGTCCACCTGTGCTCCGAGGAGCCCGTCCTATTTTGAGAGTCTGTGATTCTATCATGAGAGGCTTTCAGGGCAGGGATGGACCTTATAGAATGGGGGGTCTGGGAAGGCAGAGAAGAGCCAGGTGTTACAGGAGAGAGGCGAGGCACCAAGAGAGGGGGGAAGAACATTCGCTGCTCCTGGCCCAGTGGATAGGGTGCAGGCCTGGAGTCAGGAGGACTGAGTTCAAATCCAGCTGTGAGGCCCTGGGCGCCTCACTTCACTCCTGCCTGCCTCAGTTTTCTCATCTGTGGAATGGGGCTAATAATAGTTCAATGAGGTTGTGTGTTACAGACCTTAAAGTGATCTAGATGGCTGCCTATCCTGTCAAAGGGAGGAAAGCTATGGCCTTGGCTGGTGGCAGTCTCCACTTGGCCTCTGCTGCTCCCCGGTGCTCCTGGCGGGCGCTGGCTTCTTGGGAACCTGGGAGCAGCCCCCCAGTGCCCGGGGGTGTGGCCCGTCGGGTTGTCACACACTCATGGTGACAGAGAGAGTGATTTCCCACCAAAAGGCAGGCCACAGCCAGAAAACAGGGGCTACCCAGGCCGGGGAGGGTGGGGGATGCCGAGATCTATCATCAGACTCATCTGCCTCCACTTTCCAGCCCTGGGTGGGGGAAGAGGAGGTGTGTAGAACATGGAAATCAAGGCCGAGAGGGTACTTACAACATGGAATGTCATGGGAGGGAGCTTAGAACTGGGGATGTCAGGGCTGGGAGGGAGCTTAGGACAGGGAATGTCAGGGTTGGGAGGGAGCTTAGGACAGGGAATGTCAGGGCTGGGAGGGGCCTTAGAAAATGGAAGGTCAGAACTGGGAGGGAGCTTAGAACTGGGTATGTCAGGGTTGGGAGGGAGCTTAGAATAGGGAATGGCAGGGCTGGGAGGGGCAGAGCTGAGAGGGCCTTTAGAACAGGGGATG